TGGGGGGCCTAAACTAAAGTAAAGAGATAAGTTCAGTTAGTATTCAGGTACCAGTCTTGAATACAATTCAACAATTAACTGCTTCTTACAATGAGAAACAAGATAATTAAGAGGTTTATATAGTGTGGGACTCTTAATTATTTAATAAGTACATGGATGAAGTTACTTGCAGAAGGATGCATGGAAAGACTAGGATTAGAATTTGCTTGTCAGATGCTAAAGTATAGAGAATCATACAGAGCTTAAATGTATATTTTTGAGCCACACTACATTATTACGGTCCATGCTGCCACATCTAGTCATGCTCTATCTGATGATTATATGTATTGATCATAGCTCTGCAGTATAGTTTCCATTGAAAAGGCTCCAGCATAAGACTGTCATGTCTAAAACACTCCTCCCTGCTGGCTTCCTATAATGATAATCCATCTGGTGCATGAAGATTACAGTTTCTGAGCACCCATTTGAACATACTGATTGCATATAAACCCATGGGTTCTGTGTCTGGCAGCTTTACTGGTACATCTTATGGAACATTATGAATATCCATTTCATTTTCTGGCTGTTTGAGGTATGTAAAAGTTTAGTGAATATGCTGTTGAAGCAACTTATAAGCATGTGACTTTTATCACTTTTTGAGACAGAAATCATTCTGAATTACATTGGGTACAGTTGCCTGGGGCATGTGGATGGCTTTTGTCACTGACCTATGCATCCATGGATTCTCACCTGTTTAAAGACACCACACTTTTTTAAGCATGGCTGGTGTACAAGTTGTTGCTAGTCTTTCTGGATGGCCCTAGGACTCCAACTTTATCAATGTTTCCAATTCTAAGTCCCCAATCTGAATATATCTTTATGATCTGAGTGCATGAATATTTGACTTCGAAAATGGCTGCTACCTAACTTTCCCCAGAGCAGTTAATGATTTTATACCATCTGTGGTTGTCACATGACTTGCTGATTTGCATATTCAGTATTGTTTTAACCTCTCTCTCATTTCTTGCCTATTGCTTCTACTTGCCATTCTCCCTTTTCCAGTGTGGGCCATCAAGACTCTAAGCAGTAGCACTTCCTTTAAGCCAATTCTTGGCTGTGCTGTGGAGTCTTTGATGCCTGCCTCTCCCCTTTTCACACCTGTAGTCTCCCTTCACCAGTGCCAGTTTTTACTCCACCTCTCTTTCTCCTCATCATCTCACCCATCCTCTTCCCTCTTTATCCTCTGCATCTTTGACATCTTTCTGGGAGTTTTCATGATTCGTTTATGGGGCAAGCTCAACCATCTTTGATGTGTCTTCATGCCATGGAGTTCTTGGTATTAAAGGTTCTTCACTCTTCTCTAGCTGCTATTTACATGTATGCCACCTTCAATGAGCTCTGCAATTCAACACTACCCTAGATATTTCCCTTCCCACTTCCATTCGACTTGAATTTTTCCACCAATGCCTTCCTTGTCCAATGTCTTGACACATCCACACTCTCAGGGGTTTGGTCTCCAAAGAAGTGATCTCTCTTTATCAACATTGTGATGATGTTTGCAGTTTTCAAGTTTGCCAAAATCTTTTTTCACAATTATCATGTCATCTTTTGCTTACATCTATTACCAGGGAAGCAATTTCTTTTAGGATCTATGCTTTCCATGGTGTTTTGACAAAGCCTCACCTGCTTTGATGATTGTAGGTCACGAAGCAGCATTATTCATACCTTTACCCTCTTGCCCAGCACTATTCTCTCTTTTTCTCCTACTTGCTTGTGGTTGTCATCATTCAGATATTCATGCCTTTGTCACCTTCCATACTCTATGTTAGGAAGACAGGCTGGTTTGTTCCCTGGCTGCTCCTTTCTTCCAAAGAACTTGGGCTGCCTGAGAAGGTGATAGGACATTTTTCTCTCATCTTTCTCGTATATTTGCTCATTATATAATTGTTCTGAGCCCAATCATGATTTCCTAATAATTATCACCATGCCTTATAAAACTTAAATTTTCTTAATTTTGTGAATAATAACATGGTTGGGATTAATTTTCAGCCAAAGAGACATAAATGCTATTGGACGCTCTCACTGTCCGATGGGTAAATCAGGATTTTCGGCCAGACTCTGGCAGCATCCACTTGAGTTTAAGGAGTTAATGTTCAGGCTTATTGGAGTATTATAAATTTCTGTAATGATTAATACATACAGACTTGATGTTCACATTTTGTGTACAATTTTTATCTTCTTCCACATATTAATTTTTGTTTTTAAATATGCAGGTTTTGTGATACAAGGATCTACTGGTGAAGTTGCATATTTGAGTGAAGAGGAAAGAGTGGAAGTTGTAAGGTTTGCTCGTCAGTATATCACGAAGGACAAAATTCTTATGGCAGGAAGTGGATGTGAATGTAGGTATAGCAGTGGATCGATTTTAAATATCATATGATGTTTTTTTCCAAACCTAAAAACAAATTTATGAACGTATATCTGATATTGAACATATATATAATATTGGTATTAACTAGGCAGACAGTGAGGAAAGAGTGAAGGCAAGTACTATGAGAATGCATGTATGCACAATCACGGAAATATTTAGGACACAGACCTCTAACTTTTAGACTCTTTCTGCAGGTGGAGATCTAATCTTGCTTCATTTTGGAGAAAACAAGCTTTATTTTAATAAACACAACATCTTAATTGCATGAAGAAAATCTTTGTTGGTTACAGCTCTCTAATATTGAACCTATTTTAAATACAATAGACTTGATTTACATAGTTACAGCATCCAAACATGATTGGTAAACCAAAGATCACACTATAAAAGTAATATTTTTATTTAATTATATGTATGTACATTATGAAATAATATTTCACACGTAAGTTTTACTTGTTTTGTGTAATATAATATATTAATATGAAAAAGAATGCATTTCCTCCCACCTTTAAAAAGAGATGGAGTTAATGCAAGATAAAGCTTAAGAAATATTATTTTCATCAAGGAGCAATGGTGTATTAACAACTGTGATGTTTTGTGTAAAATGAAGATAATTTCTATTTGGTAATGCTTTTTGGCAAGTTCTCTCATTTATTTGAACTTGGAATGTTGTTTTCGTTATTTGTTTTTTGTAAAAATAATACTTTTGAAGCAAATCTTTGGCTTTGGGCTTAATATTATGGTACACATGTATGTAGCCCTTTAAGAATGCCATGCTTTTATTTGTCTTATGCAAATGAACTGCACCACAGTACAATGGTGTGTAGGTGCCTTACAATGTAGTAAGTTATCATCCAGCCAATCTTAAATTGCCACTTCAGTATAATCATTGTATAACCTTTGCAGTGAAGAATTGTGAGAGATCAGTAAAAGTTTGGGGCTCCATCTGGGTCAACAGTGTCAATGATCCACATAAAATTGATTACATTTCAACTGTTGACAAGTTGATCCATTATGCTATTCCCTCAGGAATGTAACTCATCAGGTAGTATTCTAGGAAGACAATGGTCCTAAGCATACAGCGAATATTTTGAAACATCATCTTGATATTTTAGAGGCCATGGAATATACAGAATCATGTCTTTGTCTGCAAAAAGTCCTCATATGAACATTCTTGAAATTTTGGGGCTAATTTAAAAATGGAGAAGATCAGAAGATAACCACACAACTTGGCTGCATTATAGATAGTAATACAGGACACTTGAAACAATATTCCTCAAACTTACATTGACAATTTCTTTGGCAATATAAAAACAAGGTGTAATGCTCTGTGTTGTGTTAAACAACAAGTACATATACAAACCATTAGTACAATGTACATCTTATTAGTTTTTTATTTATATTTTCTGTGATAAATTTTTGTGAGTACCATATTTTCATCAGCTATATGTTTCCATAATTATTTCCATTAGTGTATGTGTGTGGGTGAACGTTTGTATATTAAAAAAGAAAAACTTAACATCAAATTATTTGTTTCATCTCATTGTATGCACTCTCCACAGATCATTCAGTGCACAACCTGCAATTAAGAATATCAAAGTTAGACCTTCATGTTCACCATTTACCTCTCTGTATACAGGTTGACCTTGTAACCAACATGTAATCATGAAACTATATATACTGTAACTCTGAATGTACCAAGTTGTTCTTCACAACATTTGGCAAGCGTTTAGTAAACATTAAAAGTCTGTTGTACACAAAAAATTAGATTTTTAATAAAGTATTTTTACCAAAGATTTGTCTTCAATTTACAAAGCCTATCTACAAAGCCTTTACCGAGTCAGTCTGAATGAAAGGTGATTTCTGACAAGGGACTTTACTTCCGCTCACATACATAGCTATTCTCATTCAGTGCTGCCCTCTATTTGCAAAGTGCATGCCACAAACCTTTCTCACCCCTCGTTTCACGTGGTTTAATTGATTCTCGCATGCAAATTATCATGCTGCAAATTTCCACCAATAGCAGTGCCACACACCCACGTGAATCATGTGACTCCCTTTATGCTATTCTACCTAACTATTATTTCTTGTTTGGCAGTGCTCTTGTTCAGACATTTAGTTTGTGCTCTCTTCAAGTTTTTTTTTTCATATCTTTGTATCAATTTCTCTCACCAAGTTTACTATTTATTTTACAATACTGATATTTATAACTTATTCTGAAGTGGACTTATTTTATACTTCTACCCACTTACGGAACTTAATACTCCATTACAAGTTTTTTTCTGCCAACATGGTTGTGTTGGGTTATTCATTTTGAATATGAATTCTAAATTCTATGTTACCACTTTGGAGGTTATATCTTCTATCAGCAGTTTACACAGGCTTCAGGTGGTAGTCCTCGACTGGGGAATTAGCAGCTTTACTTCATTGGAGATTAATTGTCCAATGAGCTAACCTTCATCGAGCCTCACCTCTAACTTGGGGGCCCACACGTTTTGAAATATGATCTGGTTTGCCGACTTTGGGAAGATGAGGCATTATACTGTTATGGTTTTGAATATTTTTACTAATAATATTATTATCTGTAGTTATTTGGGTTCAGTAACATAAGTTTAGTTAGATTGGTCAATACTCATAGTTATTTCAGATTTGAAATTAGAGCTTAGTTGTATCCTTTGTCCTATAATGTTAGATTATGCTTAACATGGGTCTATTTTAGGATTGCCTGTAATTCATCTTACTGGTTTATATTAAGTTAGTTTAAATATATTGTTTTTTCTTTAAAAAATTACATGTAATACATATGTTATTGTCAATACACACTTCCTTAATTTTACAATGTAATGTCTGTTTCATTTTCATTATTACTTTTATACTTCTTCATATGAACTTTGTTTGTGTGGACCCCTGGAGCTGGGTTCCACACAAACTGCTCCTGATATTGTAAATGTTATTCTTAGGTTAAAGTTTTTAAATTAGAGCTCAGTGATATTTCACTACACACTTACTTAAATTTACATTATATCAACTATTTCATTTTTGTAATTCTTTATAATTTATACTTCTCACAATTAACTTGGTTTGTGAAGACCCCTGAAGGCCAGGGTCTGCCCTACTTTTTCCCGATATGACTCGTCTTCCTCCTACAACTGTCAAACCCATTTAGGATGACCTAGATTTTGTCAGTTTTCCTCCACCTGATTATGGCTTGCCTTCCCAGGCCTTTACTGCAGAATCTGTTAGGCCTACCTCAGCCTTTTTTTAGTTGTGTTTCACAGTATACTTCCCCCTCCTTCTCAAGACATTGTTTCATGATGAGCATTTTTTTCTCTTTTGGGAGAGGGTACTTGCATGCCTTGCATACAGCCCTCAGTAGCCTCAATCTCATACAGCCTTCAGTTATCTCAGTCTCACAGAGCCTTCAGTGATCTCATTCTAATACAACTTTCAGTGATTCCATTTTCATACAGCCTGC